CTATGACAAATAATTACCCTTGGGATTAGTGAGAAATGTGATGTTATTTCAGGTATCCTGCTGCCTTGCACCATCTAGTGGACACAGAAAAGTGTACAACTGCCTCCTCCCCTGCTCCCCGGTCGTTTAGCTCTTTCCGCATATTCCCAGCAGCGCAGTTTTCTGTGACACCACATTTCCTGGCTGCAGCAGCTCCACTTTGCTCGTCATCATGAAATCTGCTTTTCTGTTGTTAGCTGTAAATGTCACCTAGAAAATCTGTGAGGTCGAAGGGGAAATGCCTGGCAGGAGGGGAGCCCGTTAGGTGCTGGGGAAAGATGGAGGCACCTTTTCGCTGCATTGCAGTTGAGGTGCAGCATGAGAAGAAATGCTGGAGAGGAGCTCGGGAACCAGAGGTGGGCTCTGAGGCTTTGCAGGCTTCTCCCTCCTGTCCTATAAAGAGCAGTTCTGACAGCAGCCTCTGTGTCATGTGTGTTCTGCCTGCAAACTGCAGCACTCTGTTTCTGCTTACATCTTGGCAGGCTCCATCCCCTTCACTGCAGCAGGGGATTCATACAGAGTTTTGCAGCCATCAACCTGGAATTACTTGGGAGTAGGTGCCTCCAAAGACTTCTTCAACCAGAAGGCCTTTGTGATTGCTATCTTTACTGCTTTCTTTCCACTAGGAGGACCAAATCCCCACCAAGTCGCTTAGTGTGAACCTTTCCCTGCCTCAGCTTTTGGTACAGGCACCGTGTATTGTAGGGACAGAGAAAACAAGGCAGCAGCTAGAGGGAGAAAAGCAGAAATGAAAAATCCACGTGCAGTCCCTCACTCTGGCCAAACAGAGTGGGCAGATGGGGAGGAGAGATGCCTTTGCCTCAATACTCATGAGCAGCCAGGTCATCCTGGCTGACCAGGTCAGCCTGGTCTTTCCAAGCTCCTGGTTCGCTACTGTGATGATGAGCTTGGGGCTGAGAGCACCCCTGTTGTACTGTGATAGCAGACAGACCATGTTCGCTAGTGATGGTTCTCTTTGCTCTTCTCTTTGCAGAACTGCCTCACTCGCACAGCACGCCCGCAATGAGCACCAGTGCCTGCACCAAAGTGTTGTACTTTACTGACCGCTCCCTCACACCTTTTATGGTCAACATACCAAAGAGGTGAGGCCTGGCTTTGCCTCATGTAGCGCAGGATTCCCCTGCAAAAATACTTCTGGCTCTCAGGGCAAAAGGGAAAAGGGCACAGATGGTTGCAGGCACAGCACAATGCCTGAGCTCAGTCTTTGATGGTATACTGTGCAATAGTGCAAAATCCTTCCCTTGCAGGTTAGGGGAAGTGACTCTGAAGGATTTTAAGGCAGCCATTGATCGTGAAGGAACCCACCGGTACCACTTCAAAGCTCTGGATCCCGAGTTTGGCACAGTTAAGGAGGAGGTAGGTGTGGAATGGAGCCAGTGTGATGTGCAGTGTTACCACTTAGCCCTGTAGACGCTGGTCGTTCTTGCTTCCGAATGAATGAAATCTTTGGACTTGCCTCAGAACAGTGCTGTGTTTCAAACTGGACATCAAGCTTCTCTTGTAAAGCGCTAAAATGGGATGTTTTCATTCCCAGCCAGACCAATGACATGATGTGATTGCAGTTGATTGTGGTTTGCAGAGCACCTTGTGCAAGGAGTTGGCTATTTGTAAGGGCTTTGCTCAGGACATACTGGGCAAGAAGCTGAACTATGCTTGCAGCTCTGCTGCAGCGACCCTGTGAAATCTGTTGCAGAAATCTGTTTTTTTTTTTTTTTTTTTTTTTTTTAACAGGTATTCCATGATGATGACATCATTCCTGGTTGGGAAGGGAAAATTGTGGCCTGGGTAGAAGAAGACCATGGGGAGAATTAATTGAACCTTTAGGCCCTTTCACTGTGGGGACCTGTAAGTGGCTGCTGAGCTCAAAGAATGACCAAAAAGTGTGTGGCCCAGGAGTGCAATTCAAGCTGCCAAAAGAGGGGACTTCTCTGCAAGCAACGAGTAGCACGTGCTGTTGTGTGCTTGGACACCTGACATCTAACTTTCCATGGCTAAATGCAGACATGTTGTGAGACTGAATTGACTGGTGTGTGGGAAGGAAACACCTTGGTTTGTCCCGTCAACTAAGCCCTGAAGGCCTTAACGATACATTTCTCCCTTCCCCTGCCTCTCCATTCCAGCTATGGTCTGCACAGCGATCGGTGATCTGAGCATTTCAACATTGTCCCTTTGTACACAGTATACATAAATGTGCACTGATGGCAAAAATGTCAAGCTTTGTCTTCACGAGACAGAAGATGCTGCTAGATTCTGCAAGCAGAACGTCTGACTGACACCAGTCCTGGTCTTGCATGTGCTACAGGAGCAGAGTGAACATTGTGCATGGTTCGGACTGACGGTATTGAAATCTGAGCAGAGGAGGGAAGACAGACTTACGGAGCCTTCGTGCACTGTCTAAAACAAACATCATCAGCTTGGCAAAGCTCCCCTTTCCAAATTCAGGCTACTGATTCTTAGCCTGCTCCTCCCACCTGCCTTCCCAACCTATGCTCACTTCTTGAGGCCCATTGTGGGTTTGCTTTGTTGCTGTGGGAACTCTGGTAGCTTGGTGCTTGCTGATCCACTGAAATGTTTCATTTTGGGGAGGGAGCTGGAATCACCTACTTCTCCGGGGTACTTTTCACTTCCCTCCTTGATAAGCCCCTTTCCCTGCCCTCTGTTCCCTTTCAGCAAGGCAGATGGATTCTCAAATCCCGAACAACCAGCAAACATCTCTTGAGCGTTAAAGTGGTAGCATAAATCTGGGTGCTGCATCTGCCTCCTTTTCCCTAGCCGCCTGTGTGCACTACTGTCCACTGCTTGCCAGGGCCACCTGGCACACATAAGCACAGGGGCTGGATAAGCACCGTCAGCACAGCACCCATTCCCGCTCCTTGGGCCGCCTCAAGGAGCCGAAGGTCAATTTGTGGGGGGGAAGGTACAAGCCCTGAAGTCTGTGAGTGTGGGTGTTTAGTTTGTTTTGTTCTCCCTCGCTGGACTGCCTCTCCGCCCTGCAGCTGCCATGCAGCTGGACTTCTGCAGTGCTGGCTGTGCTTTGCAGCAGACACTGTTGACTGAAAAGGTCAAGCGGCGAGTCCAGGCCCCGCTCATCCTCGGTGCGCGTGGCTCTGGCACGGGCTACGTGCATGTCAGTGCTGTGCATGAGGCTGGGGGAGGGTGGGTTTGGTTTTATTGTTTTATATTAACGTGTCCTTTTGTAACCCTGTTCCTGTTTTTGGAATGGTTTTATACCGGTTTACATTGTTGTCTGAGGACTGTGGATATTTTTATACCTGTGCAAGTGCTTTCTGTATATTTCTGCACGCATTACACTGTATTTTATTCCTTTTTCGCGTGGATGCCGAGATGTTTTATATGATCTCCTGTTAACACAAGACAGACTCATAGCTTTATTTATTTATTTATTTATTGATGGTATGGTTCCTACTGGGTCTTATATTTTGGCAGCCTGCATAGACAGTAACGTTGCCACCTCTCTTCCCCCTTGCTCACTGCCCAGGAGAGAGCGCAAGGCTTCAGCCCATGCTGAACTGGTTCACGATCTAGAGCCTTCTGTTTTCTGGTTGCAGCGATGTCCTCATGAGCAGCAGCGTGGATAGCAAGGGGGAAGTTGATTGGGGTGCGTATGTGGGAATGTATCTATCTTGGAAAGGCAACAAAGATGACCGTCCTCCTTGGAACGGTTTCTCTGTTGCACGGTGTTTAGTGGTTTGGCTGTAAGACAGCGTGGGCTTATCATACTGAAACGCAGGGTTCTTTTGCAAGTGCAAGTTTTGCTGAAATCTCTCTTACTTCAGCTTTCACTTGCTGGCTTTATTTCAGCTGGATCCGCACACTGAGGCTCCAGTTTTCTGGGGACAATCAAGGTGATTCCCAGGGTCCGTGCTTGGATTTCTCTGTGGCCTTGCCCCCCGGGGCCGTCTCCTTTTGGAGATTAATCTGACCAGAGCTCTTGGGCACAGGGTTTAGTACAGCCTTGCCCATCCCTCTCCAGCCAGCCCTTGAGGGCAGTAACTGTGTCCTGGGTCAGCTAGAGCTCTCGGGCAGCTTCAGCTGCCTCTAACCCTGGCTGTCTCTGATATCCTCCCGTCACACGCAGCGGACAGTGGAGGCCTGACGTGCCCTGTGCGCCCTGGCGCAGGGATGACTGCGAAGGAAGCTGCACTGCCCTTAACTCTTGCTTTCCTCGGTCCTCACGCACCCCACAAGCGCGGACCGAAACCGCAGTACCCCGAGGGGGCGCCGAGCGGGGCCAGCGGCCGGTTCCCCGTCCC